AATTGAATCAGTCTCACAAATCCTTGTCAAGCCTTTGCTTTTTGATGGGCAGTTTAAACTTCACTTTTCTACCCCTGCTGTCTCTTACCACAAGCTCTGTCTTCACCCGTCAACTCAAGTCCAGGAATATGCAAAGCCCTGAACACACCTCTCCACTCCTCTGATCCTTGGGCCCATTCAAGGTGAACTGATCCCTGGCATAACTTAGGGCAGTTGCTGCTCTAAGTTGTCTGGCTAAAATCAGTCCCTAGGGACTGCTCTTTTGAAAATAGGTTGGTGAGTGCTGTGTGCCTCAGCTCCCCAAGGAATACCCCTTTGCTGAGGGACAGGTGGTTGGGAGAAGGCTAGAGCTCCCCGCTGGCTTTGCACCACCTGGGGACTCCCCTACCTCAGAAGGATCCAGGAAGTCTGGCTAGGGCAACTCTGTATTCCCTTCTCATCTGGCCCATAGTATTAATAATATTTTGATGTGTTCAGCCTTGAACTTGAGATCTCTGCTCAAATCCAGGGTGAAGTCTTGATGGGAGTTCTGTTGATCTCAGGCTAATAACTCGATAGGACCCGTCTTTTGCTGTACCCTAATCATGTGTGTGACAGGAGAAGCCAACAAAATAAAAGGGGCAGGAAAGCTGTGTCACTGAGCAGTTAAGCAGCCCGATGAAGAGCCAGATTTGACTGGAGCAAGGCAGGCCAAGCTGTGAAATTGCCTCATGACCTTTGTTACAGTGCCAGAGCCAACTCAGCTTAGGAGAAGGAGCGAGGAGGAGGAGGAGGAAATGAATTAAAAATGAATAACATTGCAAATGGCACCAGCTTATTAAGCACTACATTGCAATCCTGACAGCACAACCTTTCTGCATAATCAGGGGCACTGTGGTGAAACTTAATCCCCAGTGATTTACCCCAGGCCAGCAGTCCTGAAAGGCTGCTTTGCAATTTTGCACCTGACTGAGCGGCGTTATACAGGTCTGTAGGACTGTAGTAGGTTGGTGGCCACAATGAGTGTGGTCTAGCCCAGGGGCAGTTGGGAGGAAGAAGGCTGGGATCACTTTGCATCCCAGATGAGGTGTGCTGGGCAAATATGCTGAGCTGGCATGGGAAATAATTGATGTCCTTGTTGATTTTTTTTTTTTTTTTTTAAACCTGAATTTGCATAAGATGCTCACGTGCTTCTGTCAGGTCATACAAACCTCCTGGACAAGCTGACCATACTGGACTATATATATTTTTTCTGTCTTTTTGATGTACCAAGTGTATATTACATATGGACCCAAATTATAATCCCAGAGTGCTGCAAAACTGTGGCTATAGATCTGATCTCTTTCTTTTATAATTTAAGAAAATATGAATTTTTTTTAATCTCCCCTCTGCAGCTACTGATACTTATTTACAGCTCTGGAGTTCTAGCTTAAGCATTTTTTTTTTTACTTTGGCTTGAGTATTTCTTCTGTTTTCATCAACTGTTCTCTGGCACTTTGTGCTTCACTGATTCAGAAAGGCAGAATGTATTTCACATCTGCATTTGTGGAACCCATTGCAGAAATCATTGCAGAGTTTCTGAACACCACCAAAGCCCAGATCGTTGGTCAGGTCTGTATGGATTCTAGCTGAGTTTGGAAGCTCCAGTCCTAAATTTTCAGGCTGTGTCATGGAGTGCTCAGGAAGTCCTGAAATGCAAGTTTTGCCCCAAATTTGCCAAAATTGGTTGACTTCTCTCCCCCCACCTCACCCTAAATGACCGCATGGTATCCGGCAACATCTGGCTACAGCTACTTAAAGACAGAGCTAATTATTTGGGCATGCTGCTGCATGAATGCAGTTGTACTGCTTTTTGAACTACAAGCAGTATAGTTATGTGTACCGTGCTCTGTGCCTGGGCCTAATTAGCTTTGCTGAAGGCAGTGTAGTGAAGCCTATAGTGCTGTACTGTCATGTAAAGTGACTGCATGATACTGTTTCTGGTTTGAGAGCTCTATACGGGGCCTTGGATCTGTGGACTGACCTGGATTTTGGCTTCCCCAGGTTGGTTGCCTTAAGGCTAAGACTTCTGGCAGAGATCACTCAGAGCAAATACACCCCAGAGCCCTGTGGAAGCTCATGGTAAAGTTTTTCAGAACCTCCATCTGTAGACACCAGGAAACTCATGGTGGCATTTGCACTGAAGATCAGAGACAGGATTGTTGCTGTGACAGGCCCTGGATAGAGGATCAGGTTGTGCTCTCCTATGGGGGAAGCAGAGGTTAACAATGCCCCCAAGGCTAATTTCTCTTGTGGCTCTATTTATAATTGCATAGGCAGGGAAGGTTCTTGGAGTAGATGTGATATCTTTTATTAGACCAACTGAGTGGTTGGAAAAATATTCTTAGCAAGCTTTCATGTGTAATCATCCTTCTCCAGGCATAGGGAGACTCCTATGCCTGAAGAGACTCCCTATGCCTGAAGAAGGGTGATTGCGCCTGAAAGCTTGCTAAGAACTTTTTTCCAGCTACTCAGTTGATCTAATAAAAGAGATCACATCTACTCAAAGAACCTTCCCTGCCTATGTCCTTAAACCAGCATGGCCACAACCAAAAACCGTTTTTATAATTAGCATTTATAGTGTTTATAAAACCAGTTCAATTCCAGCTGGTGTTATGTGAGTCTCTGTTCTCTTCATTTGCTTGTGGTAACCTTATCTGTCAAGTAACTCAAGTCATGATGTTCTGGAGCATTAAACCTTGCCATTGTGCCAGTTCATACCAGGTTGAAACTCTCTTGTCCATTTAAGCAAATGACAAAAAGGACACAGAGTTAAACCGTGCTACCAGACCACGGTTTGCTCTGATAGCACTAGCAATGACGTCAAGAGACAGAGCTAGGCTGTACCAGGCGACTTCCTCCCTCTAAAAATCATCTCTATTAAAAATAAATAAAGAAGGTGACAATGCCCTGCAGTATGGCTTGCAATCTAGGCCAGGATTTAAGGAGATATTGGTGAGAACACAAGACAGTTCAGTCTTGGAACTGAAGAGCAAGAGAGAATCACAGGCTCTGTCTGCGTCCATCAGTCTCAATAAAGCCTTTAGGTTTGTTGCAGTCAATCCCTGTCTTTACCACTGGGGTCCTAGAGGTCCCTGCTAAAATGCCTTGTTTAGACCTCGCCTCTTCCTCCCTTGCTGTAGGTGACTCAGAATGCCACCTGCAAAGTGATGGTGGTGAAAATCTACAAGAATGATGTGGACCAGGAGGTGATTGTGCGTGAGATCAGCCTGCTGCAGAAGCTTTCACACCCAAATATTGTCAGGTGGGTGACTTCCCAGTGGGGGCAGTGACCAGGAAGGAGGGCACTGAGCTCAAAGTCAGTAGAGCTGGGCCATACCCTGCCCACAGTTTGACTCTGTCTCTACTGAAGTTTTGTGCTATGGGAAGAAACCTAACACATGTTTTTTGTCTTGCCTCTTAGGTACCTTGGGATATGTGTGAAGGATGACAAGCTGTACCCAATTTTGGAGGTAAAGGTTACTTGCTTCTGTGTTCAGAGGGCAGTCAGGGGCATGAATTTTTACAGAGATGTTAACCAAAAGGGAAGTAGCTGAATAAGGCATGTGATATACTGAAACATTATGGCTCTTTGTCCCTTTCTAGCGGCTGAAGCACTTGGGCCTGCTACTCAGAGCTAGTTTTTCATTCCAGTAAGAGAAGCTCATGCTCTTAGATCTTAAAACCCTTGGTTCTGTCCCCATAGATGAAAGGTGTTGCTTACGGGTTGAATAAAATGCTTTCTCTGCAGCAAAAGCATAAAGTGGCATTTTATTATAAAATGCAAACAATTTGTCCTCTCTCTCACAATTATGGGGCCTCATCCTATGCAGTTGCTATCAGCTAGAGTTTGCGTTTGTTTTAATAGATGTCTTGTTTGAATCAAGGGTGCAGGATCAGGCTAGGATCCAAATAAAGTCTTTAAAAAAAAGCAGTGTCTTAGGCTGGAACCACACAGACAAAGAGCCAGAAAAGGACAAGAAGGTAACTGGAATGGATTGAAGGCAGGGAGTATTGTATGGGCTGAGGGAGTCAGTCAGCGAGGCAGAAAGACTTAGGTAGGAGTTACAGAGAGAAGGGCCTGGCAACAGTGTTAATACAATCATAAAGCATACAGTTGGGGGCATTTCAAGGGTCATGGCAATGCTGTATAATGTACAGAGCACTGGGCTGGGACGTGGGAGCAATGATTTTTTTTCTGGCTCTGCCACTGACTTGGCAGGTGACCTTCTTTGAGTCGCTTCACTTTTTCATGCCTCATTTACTCGATCTGTAACATGGGGATAATGATATGAATGCCTTGGCAAGGCATATTTGAGATCTGTGGGAAAGCTGTGTATAAAGCAGATTCTGAAAAGGGAACCCTTTATGCAGTATTCAACAGCAGTAATTCTCGGACAGCACTGAGAGCCTGTGGAAGAGAAGCCCTAGCAATGCGATAGATCTTGAACCAGTCCCATTAGCAAAGCTGGGAGAAGAAATGCTGAGCAGCAGCACATTCATTGGGGCTCCTAACCCTACAGTGACATTCATCCACTTAGTTTTAAGTAAGAAAAATGGCAAGAAAGCTTCTGCCAATGTGTGTCCCCACACATTTCCCTGAAGTTCACTGTGGCATAGCAAGCTAAAAGATCCTTCACTGGGTGTGGGATTGCTGGCATTCGAGGGGTTAATTTGATACCATGTGTAGTACTTCCAGATATGCTGCTGTTAACCTGGCACTGCACAGTGATGATTTGCCTAAACTTCAATAACCCATGTACTACAGTTGGCCTTGGTTATTCCCTTTTTTCATGGAGGTGTTTGTTTGGTGTACATAGCACAGTGGTGCCCTGGTCTTGCTTGGGACTGTTGCAGTATAAACACTTAACTTGAGAGAGGGCTCACAGATTCAGGACATTTCTGTTTGGGAAGTGCTTGACTTGCATCAAAAATGTCCATAAGCCTTCACAGCCCAGCCCTCGGAGCTTCCCTTTTTTTGTCTCTGTTGGCAGTATGTTAACGGCGGGTGTCTG